ACCAGTTAATCAGAATGTGTACTGTCTGTCATAAACATATCTTAAAGAACAGAAGTATCAGATCACAGACCTTCTAGAATATAATCTTATATAACTCTCATCAAGTATGTGAGGCTTTTCAGTTCTATTCATAAAAAAGACAGATAAGAAGTGATAGATGTGTATTAACTATCAAGCACTTAATAAGCTTATAATCAAGAATGAATATTCATTATCATAGATTCAATAACAGTTGAATATAATTAAAAATATCTGATATCTATCAAAGATTAATCTTCTCTCAGAATACTGACAGATCTGTATAAGTAAACTATCAGTTCTGTGAACTGTGCTTAATATGTAATGAGAGAAGTTTGAATTTCTGATAATATTATTCAGTCTGATAAATGCATCTATCATCTTTTAAATGATGATGAATACAATTCTTTATAAATAGAATAAAATCTCATATCTTATATATTTTAATGATATTTTAGTCTTCTTAAACTTATATAATGAATATCTGAAGTATCTTGATAAAGTGCTTATAACTCTAGTAGAGTATAAGCTCTATATCAAATCAATAAAGTGTGTGTTTAAAATGAAAGAGTTGAAGTTTATAGAATATATAGTAAGTGATAACTGTATATATCTCATTCTGAAGAAATTGAATGTTATAATAAATTGATCACAGCTGAGAAATATATATTATATATAATAGTTTCTTAAGTTGATCTCATATTACTGCAGATTTATTAAGAATTTTATATAAATATCTGCATCACTCTCAGATCTCTTAAAAGAAATAGATACAAATCTGTGAAAGAAGAAGTTTCATTCAATTATCTAAAATACTGTATGTGAAGAGACTTTTCTCACACTGAGAGAATATGTAATAATATTCTCAGTGCTTATTTAATCAGATCATGATAAATCTTTCTATATTGAGATAAATATATCTGAATAAGCTATCAGAGATACTCTTCTACAGATGAGTGAAAACAGCAAGCTGCACTCAGTAATATATAATGATAGAAAACTATCAAGCACTGAGCTCAATTATTCAGTGTATAAAAAGAAATTACTAGTAATCAAGTATATACTGATATTATGAAATAAATATATTAATAACAGATATATAATAATAGTGATTATGAATCATGAAAGTCTTATCTATCTATAATTGATAATAAAATCTTTCAAATACTTAGTATATTGAATCTCAGAGTTTTAAGTGTATAATCTTTATATTAAATACTGAAAGAAATTGAACACTGTGATATCTGATGCAATCAGTTGCAGATCTGATTTCATAAGTGAGAGTTCTGTGAATCAGATATAAGAAAAGTTTGTATTAAATGTACTGAGAGAGTGTAAGGAATCAGAATGAGTGAATATAATAATCTCTCACTTAAAGAACAGTAAGATATTGAATGATAAGTATTTTATAAAAGTAGTAGAAGAGACACTTCTGAACTTCAAGCTGAGAAAATTGAAAAATAATATTGTGTTTTACTGTAATCTAGAATATGCAGAAGCTTTCTATCTGAAACATTCATTTAAACACAACTTAATAATAATAATACAAGAAATTCAGTTACTTAGAAAGCTCTGAACTTATAAGTGTACTTAAATCAAGAGTATACTGATTAAGCATGACTGAGAATATTCAGATATACACTCACAAGTGCCTGAATTATCAGGTTGTAAAAGAATTGAAGAAAGAATTAGAATATAAGAAAGTACAACATCAAATGAAATGTATAATATAACTGTTTAAATAATGAGAGATGAATCTCATAGACATACTACTGTGAACATTAAATAGAAATCAATGAATAATCACTGCTATTGATTATACTACTGACTGATCAGTCATGAAAGCAGTTTCAGAGATAATAGAGAAGATAGTGATGAAGTTTCTATATAATGAGATCTATATTAACTATGAAATACTGTGTGAGATTCTAACTGATAACAGTGTGAATCTTGTAGAAGAAGTAGTGAGACATTTTATAAGTCAGTTATAGATAAGATATCATAGAACAATATCATATCACTTATGAATAAATAGAAAAGTGAAACACTTGAATGAAATCTTGAGTAACATACTGATGAAATATCTAGTGAACAAGTCTATAAAACTATAAGATGAATATCTCAGACAGGTGCTATTGATCACATGAATTCAACAGCATGCAGTCTCTAAGTATTTATCATTCTATCTGTTGTATGAATTGCATCCGCGCATTCTGAAGAATGCTTCAGAAAAGATGAAAGAGAAAGCATCAGTTACAGACACAGCAGAAACAGCAGTTGCAGATGCAACAGTTGCAGATGCAGAATCAAGATTGAAAGAGATCAGTCACACATATATAAAAGCTAACAAGTTACTCCTGAACTGAGCAATTCAATTGAAAAGAATATGAGACTCACTAGTTAAGAAATCAAGTCTCAAGATAAGAATATAAGTTCTCATATATAATGAGAATTCTGAAAAGTTTCAATCTAGATGATTTGAATCATATAAAATACTTAAATCACATTCTCTGAGAACATATGCATTGAAAGAATCAGAGAGATAAGTCTTACATAACTTAATAAATAATTCATAACTTATGAAAGTAAAGATATAAGACTTGAGTGAATTATAATTATCTACAGTACTATTATCAATGTTGAAAAAGAAGAAGCTTATAATTAAAAAGTCTCATAAAGTAAGAGAAATTATAGATACTTATAAATCAGATAATCTCACTTATTTCAATCTTTTCATAATTATAAGAAAAGAATGAGAAGTAATGAAGAAATCAGATGAACATCACACTTTAATAAGTAGTAAGACTGTAGCTGATTGTATAATAACACACTGCAGATAGCAGATGTAATATAGTAAAGAGCAGTCTCAAAGCAGCAGACTTATATATAAGTCAGATCACAGAAGAAAAAGAGATTCAGAGTTGAAATTAACTGTTTATATCAGTTCAATTATGAAGATTACAGAGAATAAACTATCTGAAACATCTGCAGATGTGTGAGACTAAGCTATTTCAATCTCTGATAATACTCAGAGATCAGATGAGATTAGTTTCAATAAGCTCTTTACTGTAGTGATCTGAGCAGATGAAAAGAGACAGTATAATGTATAAGATAGAATCATAAAAGATAAAAGCTGCTAAATCTAGTCACTGAACACTGAATTATATAGAGATTATATAAGAGTAGTGACTAGCAGATAAAGAAAAAGTGTAAGAAAAGAAAAGAGATAATGAATTAGTTATCAACTGTAAGAGTCAGCTGTAAAAGATAAATATTATCATACACATCTCATTCATTTTTATATATCACATATTTAATCTATTTTCAACATCATATCATCTGAAAAACATTAAAAATAAAGGAAATCTCAAAACTTGAGATCTGTAAGAAATTCAAGTGCTGCAAGCTGCTCTTATAATAATACTGTATATATCTCTAATTTCTCTACTGCTCTGTATACAACATTAATATCATTTATCACAAGATTGACTGAAATGCCAATATAGAAATGTATACACATATGTGTAGAAAAATTGAAGAAGAGTGTGAGACTTACAGAATTAAAAGTCAGAGCAGAGAGAATGAAGATAGAAGAAATGAAAGAAGAAGAAGATACAGAATCAGATAAATGACAGTGAAAGTCACTCAGAGTTAAATACTTATAATCTGATATACACACAACCTTCTCTGCAGAGAAGGAAGAGAAAGTGATAGAAGAAGCTTAAGAGTGAGAGAGAGTAGTCTCAGCAGTATTATTATCTTCAATTAAAATGATCTCTGATATTGAAGTAACTAAGAACTATTATTAGTGTATAAAACTGTAAAAGTAGAGATAATAATTACTGAATAAATATTCACTGATCTTAGAATTGTACATATAATTACAACATATACAAGACTTCTTAGAAAGAGAGAGAGAGACACAGAGAAATATAGAAAGTAGAACACAGTGTATGAACAGCTCATTCTCACAATAATATCTCAGATAAGATGTATAAGTCTTATACTCACAGATGTAAAAGAGTACAATATCTGTATTCTTATTTCTGAAAATACAGATATTCTTCATCTGTATCATGAAGTTAAATGATAAATATCAGAGAATAGACTGATATAGATTAATTATTCTGAAGATATTTATTAAAGCAGATATATCTATAATATTGAAATTAATAGTTATGAAAAGTTTCTTAATATCTGTGAATATCATGACTTCATATATAATAAAACTTATAATGATTTTCTTTAAGAATAGAAAAATCAGTGTCAAAAAGAGAAGATGAAAAAAGAAAAGACTTATAATCTTAATACTATTGAGAGAGAGAATAATTCTTCAGTACAAATAAATAATTGTCTCATTATAAATATTTAAAATGAATGTAATAATCAGTGTTTGTGACTGAGCTTCAGATAGTTATGTTATATACAGTTTTTATATAATAAATTGTTCTAGAGATCAGTAAGAAGAGTGAGAGTATATATACTAAGAAATATAATTCATTAAGTCTATGCAACATCTTCTTGAAATGAGAAGAGCTGATAATGAAAGCAGAGACAGCAGAATCAGAGAGAGCAGAGATAGCAGAAGCAGGAGAACTAGACACAGAGACAGGTGTAGAAGATTGAGAGAGAGTGACAGAGAAAGAAACAGAGAGAGTAGAAGAAAATGTAAGAGATCTGATCACATATTATATAAACAATTCCTTCATTATTGTGTTCTTCAACTTCTTGATCAATGATTCAACATTGAGATTATAATCATCAGTGAATGCAGATCTGTCAACATATGAAGATTTTATATGAATGAAAACAAAAATATCAGTATCTGCAGTTATATAAAATAATCAGAAAAACATAATTAGATACTGCTGGAGAAAAGAGAATTAAGAATGTATAAGAAGATAAAGAAGATATATTATTCATGATAGTATATTCTGATAATTGTTAGAAGATAAACAAGTTCTGATTATGTTTCATAATACATTACACTTACTGTCAACAAACTGCCTGATATAAGCACTATGAGAATGCTTGTTATGAGAACAGAGAGTCATCACCAGAAACACATATAATGTAATAGATGAACAACAGATAGAAGATGTTAAATGAGAGAAGAGATAGAAATCTTGAATAAGATAATGATGTTTGATGATGATGATAATAAAGAAGATGATTAAAGAATGAGAAAAGTTAGTGAATAAGTAATGTAATATAGTGAAAGTTTCTTTGTGAGAGTGTATGCAGAATGCTAGTCAAATCAGGAATAGATTACATGATTGTGAACACTAGTAACACACTAATTCATATGAAGCTAGAATGTACATCATGATCACATAGGCATGACTGAATCTGGTGAGGGAGAATGTGATTTGAAAGAATGTATGACTGCTGAATAATAACACAGCCGCTTCTGAACTTGCTTATGAATGTAAAGGGGCCATAGCGGCCACTAATTAATTTAGTGTACAGTATATAAGAAGCCGGCGTACGCCTGTAATCGTACGCTGGCTTAAGCAACCTTTGAATCACAGTCAGATGATCATAGCTGACTCATTTTACAAGATATTATCAGCTGCAGCTGCAGAGTCTCTTATCAAGAATATCTTCAATCTCTCATTCAAGTTCATTATCTTCTTCTATGATCTCTGACAGCTGTCAGTTGAAAATCAGTTGAGAAGAGAACAGATCAGTGATAGTATAGTGAAGTAAGCTCATATGAAAAATATTATGAATTTCTGATAATATGTTAAGATAGTAGTTATGACTATCTAGAACTTCTATCACTTTATACTTAATATAACAGTAATTCAGTGTATAAGATGAACATATAATCTGTATATTCTTAAGATTTAATTATATCAAGTCTTCTATCTTATATTACTCAGTGAGATCTTAGTGAATAATGATTTAATTCTCTTGATCTTGTTTTATAGTTATCATGAAAATCTCTGCTCAGTTACAGATATCTCAGAGCTTTATTACTATATTATCAGCAATCTGAATTGAACTGTGAGAGTTCAGTGTGAAAATGCATGATTTCTAGGAAGATTTTAATACTTTTTATATTAATAAACTGTATATAAGAAAGAATAGACTTATATCTATTAAGACAGTATCTCAGCTGTTGATAGTGATCTCTATATATAGAAGAAGATTATATCAATCATCTTATAAGTAATTATAGAACTTATAAAGATAATTCTTTACAGTCTGAATTATTCATTCTAATATATCATCAGTCTCAGAGTGATAGATAGTTAATAAACAGTATATAATCTTGAGAACTTGATAGATTCTTATTCAGAGAGTACTTATAAATTAATAGCTCTGATCTGATACTATAAATCTCAGTAATTTATATATCTGATAGAACAGACTATGTAGAAAAGCTTCAGTAACTTGTTCAGTATTTATCTTATTATAAGATTTCAATATTATATCTTTACTTAATTAGTTTATAATGATCAGAATGTTCTTATAACTCTTACTCTTAGAGAGATTAATAATAAAGTTAATTACTACATCTCATCAGATTCTATTAGAGATATTAAGTAATTTCAGTAGATCTTTTCTACAGTTCTTTTACAAGATAATGAAAGAATAATAGTTACAGCTTCAAATAAAATATCTGATACTGTTTAATATCTCAGATCAGTAGAACTCTTGAGAGATTATTCAGTACAATTATTTATAATCTGAGTGACTGATTATATATAAATTATGCATCTCTTGTATTATTCAGATGTATAAGAGTTCAGAGTGAGAGACTTAACATTATTTACAAAACTGCAGAGTATTATTATTGTTGATTGAGTATTTTAAAATGTTAGTTTTTATATATAGTTCTGAGAAGAATTAGAGTACTTCTTAATATACTGCTTAAATAAGTGTTTAAAGAAGTTTATTAGTTTGAGCTGTTATATATTATAATTCATTCAGTATAGATTCAGAAGAAGTTGAGATATCAGTATCAGTGTCAGTATCAGTATTAGTGTCAGTGTCAATGATAGTTTAGAGAGGAAGTGTTGTAATCAGAGAAGTATATATAGTGCTATAAGTTGTTTCATCTTGATTAACTAATATCTTTGAATCTAAGAGCTGATGTTCTCAGTTTCTTCAACAGATATCTGTTACATTGAAAGATATATCTTACTCTTATTATAAGAGAGCATCTGTTATCAAGTTCTGACTGTCATTATAGTAGTGTATTGTAAAATAAAAGCAGCTTAAGAACTCAGATTATTATATCTGTCATTCAGTGAGTTTATAAATAGTAGTGAAGTACTTGAGATTCTTATAATCTATGATTATCTTAAATTCAGAGACACTTCAGAGTTCAGAGTCTTATTCATCTAGATAGTATATAATTGTAAGAAGTTTCTTATTATAGATCTTGTAATTATATTCAGCAGAACTCAGTTTCTTAGATATAAAGATACATGATTGTAAGATATCTTCATTATTATATTATAATATAGCTCTCTCTGTAATATAGTCAGAGAAGTCAGCTTCAATAACTGTTTTATAATCACAGTTAAATATTATTAGTAGAGAGATATTAATGAATATCTTCTTCATCTGTGTAAATGCAGCATCAGTATTCACTGATTATTAAAATACTGAGTTTTTCTTACTAAGTTCTGTAAGTAATCTCACAATATCTGAGAAGTTCTGTATAAATTGCTGATAGAAGTTAGTAAATTCAATGAAGCTTTATACATCTTTCACAGTGTATAAGACCTCATATTCAAGAATAGTAGAGATATTCTTAGAATTTATTCAGATTCTCTTATAAGCTTCTATGATAAAGTCTAGATATTTTATACTTTTAATCTCAAAATCATACTTATCTATGTCTATCAGTAGTTCTGCTTTCTGTAGTTATTGTAATATCTTTCATACATATTCTTGATATTCTTTCTTGAACTTATCAGTAAAGATGAGAATGTTATCAAGATATACAGATATGAATTTATCAAGAAAATTTTAAAGTGCTCAGTTAATATACTTCTGAAATGTACTGAGAGTATTAGTCAGTTCAAAGAGTGTGACTAGTTATTCAAAGAGATTATATCATGTTCAGAATACTGTAAATCACTCATCTTCTTTAGTGATGCAGATCTTATGAAATACAGTGATGATATCTAACTTTATAAATTATTGAGCTTATTTAATACAAGCTAGAGTTTTATTAATAAGAGATAAAGAATAATAGTTCTTCTTTATTAATCTATTAAGTTCTTAATAGTTCACACAGAATTAGAGTTCTTCACCTGATTTCTTTGCAAAGAGAATAGAAGCTGTGATAAAAGAGTTACTAACATGTATAAATTCTTTATTCAACAGATTATTGAGTGTCTTTCAAAGAAGAGGAAGTTCATCTTAGAACATGTTATAAAGAAGGTCTTATAATAATTCAGAGTCTTTATCATTTTTCTTTTCGAACTTGATACTGTGATTTACTTCTAAGTCTTATAAGAGAGATATATTTATAATATTATCTTATTAGAAGATATCTAGATATTTATAATATTATTGAGAGAGTTTCATATGAGAATCTGTTATTATAATATAGAATAATTTTTCTAGAGTCTTTTTAATGTTAATCAGACTGATAGAGTAGATTGTTATATAATTCTACTATTAATAATCTTATCAGTGATTCTCTCAGTGACTTCTTTTTCAGAGTATTTCATACACATTGACAGAGATCTGTGTCAGATTCATGATTTTGTGAATATTATCTTCATAGATTCTATTATTGTCAGAAAATATTAAGCTTCTGTTTCAAGTATTCAGTAAGATGTTTTATTCAGATAGTCAGACAAGTTCTAATATAAGATTATAATTAAGATTATTAACTTTATATATATAAATATCTTTATATTGATGTTCTTTAACATCTATGTTTAGTTTTATCATGTAACAGATATAAATATTCTTTGAACTATCAAATTCTCTGAGAAGTTAAGATTTTAATAAGAAGATATACTGAAGGTTATAATATCTTACAACTGAAGATTTAATCATTGTGTAATAACATAGATCACTGTCTATCATGGCTTTTATGTTATATATATTATCTATCACAGTAGATACAAGAATCACATTCATTATTATTTTTTCTTCAAATTATTATTATCTGATCTCTTCAAGCTTCTGCTTGTAAATTTGAACAGAAGCTAATCTTTTCTCTGTTTCATTGAGACATTCTCATAGTTAACTTCTGAATCTTTCTCTAATGTAACATGATTGACACAGACTGTCAGTATTGATCTTTCTTTTAAATGAGAAGATATATAGACTGATCAGCAGTTGAAAGTAATGTATTCTGATTAGTTACAGTTGATACATACTTCTCATTGACATCAATTGACAACTTCTTCAGAGGTGATTTCAGAAACTCAGAAGCCTGTTTGAACAGCAGAGACCCTTGCTTATGTATAGATATTTAAGTCTACTCAGTTCATAGCATCTGCATCATTATTGTTATTTCTCAGTACAGATGTATAAGTGACTGAGTTATTTCTCAGTGCAGATGTATAAGTATATCATCTTCTATTACTGTTCTGTGTACTCTTGAGCTTGATAAGACAGTCATTCAATGTTCAGAGTTATACACAGAAATCTTCATAAGTCTGATCTTTATCTATGCTTACAAGAGTCTGTAAGAGTTTGAAAGTTAATGTCTTCTTGAGTATACTAATCTTCATTCAATTCTCTCAAGATTGATCATCTGCTTCTAGAATCTTAATATTGAAGTCAGAGATGAATGTTGTAAGAGAAGTGTTTCTCTATTAAGTACTCTGTAATCAATCTAATACTTTCTGTTACATGACAGTGTCTCAGAACAGAATATCAAGATATTTAATAATATTATCAGATATTCATAACACTGATTCATATGCTTTTATTCATGAATAAAACTTCTGTTTCATGTGATTCTTCAATCATTCATTGATATATTAATCTTGATTAATTAATAAACTGATGGCATCTCTATCTACACTCAGTTTTATGAGCATTTCCATTCTTTATGATGAGTAGAGAGTGAGATTAGAAGCATTAAAATATGTAGAAGTATCTAAGTATTCTTTCAGTACTTTTATATTCAATTCTGTTAATATTGAAATTGTCTATGCAGAGGTTCCTTGTTGAGAAAATCATTGAATTTCTTCATATTAGCATTGTTAAGTTGCATGCATATCAGCTATTTATTATTATTATAATTTCAATATTGCTCAGAGT